GCATAGTTTAGCTCCAACTTTCTTTAATACACCTCCATGGAAGTTTCTAGTATACCTAGAAAGAGCTTGATTAGCTGCTGTTTAATTCAGGTTGGAACTAAAATATGCAGGACATTGGCCCTCCAGGACCGAGTTTGGACACCCCTGCACTAGAGTTTGGCCTTGCAAAATTCTTTTGAACGGCGCTGCGAAAAGGGGCAGGGTTAAACAGTATGATTAGACATCAATAAAAGTGAGCGATTTCTCTATATTTTAAATTTCTAATTTTAAATGATCTTCTATTGGTCTCACTCAATCATCTGATTTGATTTCACAGGTAAGAATTCACCAAGCTTGAACTTTCGAATGCAGTGAAATGCAAAACTTTATCGCACAGGCTTTTAATTCTGGTCTGCCGCATTCGCATGCCTATGAATGGAAGTCTTTGGAGAAAAAAGTGCAGTGTGGTTTTACCTACTACTACTAGTTTAACAAACCATTAAGGTTATCTAAAATTAGTATGACAAATGTCTGTATATTGGAATGGAGGTTAGTTGTTTTTACTTTTCTTTTTTCTTGGTCAAAAGCATGCTCGAACACTATTAGTGTAGTGTAAGCATGATCTATGTTGCATAGATATAAAAAAAATTTAAACTATTGTGTGTTTTATGATATGCTGTAATAAATGTAAATGTTTCTTATGATTTACCATGTATATGTAGACATTACATGAAACATTAGGTCATGAAAATTTGGAGAAGTCAAGGAATTTTTGTAGTAAAAATGTGTATGAACTCTAAATTGAGCAAACAACATTTTTTGAGAAACTCTGTTCATATTTAAAACAGACATCTAAACAAACACACCCCAATCATAAAAAAACATATCCTTCTCTTCATTGCTTTGCCCCCAAATGCATGAACATGCTATTTAATACAGCCAACCGCAGACGGTTATGGCATCATTTCATTCATTTACTCCACCCACTAACAACTACAGGGAATTGGACATTTAACCATTGGGTTAAAAGTCCGGCTTTCTGCCTGACAACTGTCCTATCTTGGTTATCTGAAACATGGCAAAACAAGAAACCTTGGTGTCAGTTTTCATGCCTTTCTGCTTGGCCAAAGTTTTAGTCTAAGTGCTAGCTCACTTATGTTGCCTTATGGTAGGGCATATTTGCACATCTGTGGTCTTCAAAGCATTATTTTGCCTATCAAAACTAAGAGACACTCGTGTTTGTATGGGATGAAGTCTGTAAACTAGAAAATTTCAGCGTGCTGCTTTTTCTGTAGTGCATGATCAGTTTAAATTGATGGTTCACCCCATAATTTAAATTTCCTTATCAATTACACACACAAATGTGTTTCTAAGCATTTATACATTTCTTGTTAAACACAAAATAAGATATTGAAGAATGTTGAGAAAAAATAGCTATTTTCATAGTAGGAACAAGGAATCCTACAGAAATAAATTACTGTTTTGTTTTTTCCAAAAAAATTTCATCCTTTGTTTCATCCTTTGCATTCAACAGAAGAAAGATACTCAAACAGGTTTTGAACAAGTGGAGGATCAGTAAAGGAAGACATAATTTTTCATTTTTTGGGGAACTGTGTCTTTACATCCATATGTGATATTAAGTAGCAGAAGATCATGCCAGAGAGTTGGTCGAAGCCTTTATGGCTGAATTATACCAGTGGTTAAATAGGGGATTCGATTAGAGCTGAGCTTTGGGTCTTGACTGAAAGGACAAGATCATAGATACAAACAACCAAAATTAGTTTCTTTTGCGTGGTAGCAAGGTGCATTCTTATGAATAGGGTGAGTAGCTATTTCACCTTGGAGGAACTTGGAGTAAAGCAACTGCTCCTCACATTAAGAGAAGCCAGCTGCGGTTCAGACATCTGTTTCAGCTAGGGTTGTGACGATGAGGAAATTTCCCCACCGGTTAATGGCCATGTGACTACACCGGTAATACCGGTATCACCGTGGGGTCAGGGTTTCCTCATTTCTTTCTGCTTTTAAATGCATATAATACTTTCACTTTCAGTTTTGCGGGAATTGCCAATTCGGCGTCAATTGTTTGAATGGACGAATGTGATGAATGTTAGAATGTGTTTAAAACGAATAAGAAAATAAAATAGAAAGATAAGTAATTAAATTGCACAAAGTTTAAATAAGATTAAACGAATGAACAAGAAACAAATATAAAAGAAAAACTTTCAAAATTACATTACAAAAATGGCAGGTCGACACAGTCTTTAAAAAAAAAGAAATGAATAAAACACTGTAAATTGGCATTTAATAACAGTGAGGTTTACATGTTCTTTGCCAGGAATCCTGGCCAATATGTTGACCATCTCTGGCTTAAGATGGGATCTTGTGGGGCTCACTATGTTCCCCATCGTGCTGAACACACTCTCAGATGAGCAGCTTGTTGCACGCAAAGGTACTTTTTGGTTACATTTGCTTAAAGGGGCAACATGTTTGGTTGTCTTTTGTTGTCCTACCTGACTTCAATTTCTTAATGTATTATTTAGCCTAATGCATTATATATTAATAGCTTAGTTCTTATGAACAATCCGTTTATAAAATAGCCTTATTAACGAATTTATAGGCTATTGAAGAATAAACCGAATATGAAATATGATCCTTGCATAATGAAGATCACAACTAAACAAGCTAGCACTCATTTTATATATAAACTATAAATAAAAAAGAAAGAAATGTTAAGAAATTAAACATTGTGTAAAAAATCTAAAGACAGGCTAAATAAAAGCGCCTCGTCAGAGCTAAACATCACCGCACGTGTGTCAGTTTACAGCTTCGGTAGAGATCAGACAGCCACAGATCACACAATCTCAATAAACAACATGTAAATGTATAAATATTTCGATAAGTATTGTTATGGAATATTTATAACTATGATCTTGCTTTTTTTGGTTATATCGATACCATCTTTGAGCTCTCTTACAAGTGCAGTTGACAGGCGCAGGTGTCTCATATCACTGTCAGTGGCGGATTACACACAGCACACACTGGCAAGATGTTTTATTTGTTGCCGATTGGCGTGTTATTCCTTTTTTAAAACACCTTTTATTTTTAAAATCCCTCAAGTTAATGTTGTCTATCGAGTAATATAGTCTCCCTCGGAGATATTGTAGTTCAGTAACGTGGTGCGTAGCATATAACCGTGAAGCTTAAATAGGCTGAGCATATTTTTATTAATATTAAGACACAATACAAACTAGCCACCCTTTGATTTTTTTTCGTTTACGTATATTTTTATCGAACGAAAAATGCAATGAATAGTTTAATTTGTTTTTCATTTTATTAGAATTAATGCACAACTCCTATTGGCTCCAGTTGCGTTTTGACAGATAAGGCGTGACTTTCTGGCTCAAAGATATTTGTGCCTGTTAAATTCAGCACTGTATTTTGACAGATTTCGCAAAGGCTTCAGCTATTCTACCTGTCAGCTGGTACCAGCCTCAGTTTTGCGACTTGACCTGTGTGGCGTCTCGATATATGAATGATAGCGAGAGAGAGATGAGATCAGACCTCAGTTTCGATGTGTAGCTGCACTTCACAGTTACTTTATAGCAATTTTTAATATTGGCTCACCTAAATTAACTTTTCATTTATTAAAAGCCAAAATATTTCCAGATAGACGAAGCAACTTTCGTTTTTTTAAAGAGAGCGGCCTCGGTGATAAAAGATGCGTGCACACACAGGTTAAACTCTTGTATATTCATCTTTTATTTTTTTACATGAAATGCATAAAGTGCAAAAAAGAAGAGCTGAACTTCGGAAAAAGTGCTCATTTCAGTTGCCGTGATGATTGCTTTGTTTCTCTGCAGTTGGCTTGTCAATGGCGCGGCACTGCTACATCATTCTTGTTTGAATAAAAATACGATATTTATTATTAAACACTGTCAGATGATGGTCGCGTGATTTTTAAAATGAGGTTATGCCTTGCATATTTATTCTCACGTGAGAAATGAAATATGACGCATTACTATGTTTAGATTTTAATTATAGTGCATGCTCTGGTCTTAAGTAAATTATTATGAATTCTATTTTCCATTTAATTCAAATAAATATTTAATAATAATAAAAAAAAAGAATACTTAGAAAAAACAAATGTGAGGATGGTGTCACAGTGAAAAAGTGATGTCACCGGTGTTGCGTCTTAAAACAGGCCTCACCGTTAACACCGTCTATCGTGGCAAGCCTAGTTTCAGCCTACTCCAGGCTTCTCGCACTGGGAGGAGGCCTTGGGGAAGATCCAAAACACGCTGGTGGGACAATGGGTGCATTTATACTATGCTATTCAAACCATATCGAGGTGCGATTCTCGGTTTGTTTGACAAGTGTGAGTGCTCGGAATCATGCCCAGGCGGCGCAGTTCAGTTGACTTGCCCTGACTCGGTTGGAAGAGGTGTGCCAGAGCGTGGTTCGGTTGGGCTTATGCTTGCAGTGTGAGTGCAAATCGTGCCTTAATCTGAAACTAAAGATGAGATGTCACTTAAGGGAATGTTCATATGGATTTACTGATCAATAAATGTGAGCGGTCAGTTTATTATAGATGAACCGCTCGCTGCACAGCAGCTGCACCTTCAGCAAACCTCCTAATACGTGCAGCACAGTGAGTTTTCTGATAATTTGCGTAATGAGTTTTTTTTTAAAAATAATTTCACGGTTCAAGGAAACTTTACCTAGTGAGAGTATGCCCTATCATTCCCTGCTTGCCTGGAAACTCCTTAGGATCCCTCGGAGGAGCTGGGGGAAGTGTCTGGGCAGAGGGAAGTCTGGGGTTCCCTGTGGAGACTGCTACCCCCATGACCTGGCCCTGGATAAATGGAAGAAAATAAATGAATGAATGATTAGAATTGGGGTACTACACTTTAGGACTGTCTCTCCTCATGGCCAAATTTGACAGCTGGCTCACAATCACAAAATTACTCACTCACTGCACCTTTGATTGTTTCTCTAATATGTTTTTGCCTTTTTTTTCACAGGAGGTGATCACAGGCTTCCTCTACAGTGTGCTCATCCTGGCAGTTCTTCACCCCATGCTTGATGATATCGACACCTTCTACTTGTCCCATAGCTATGCCCCTCTGGTGGTCCTGCTCGTGCATGTTGGCTTCAGCTTGGTGGCTTTCTCATTGGACACTTGGAGCACATCTCGTGGAGACACTGCACAGGCGTTGGCCACTGCTGCCGGAGCTGCACTGGCATGCCGCCTGAACCACCAACTGGGTCTGCTGCCAGATCCTCCTGAAGAAGCTCTCCCGCTCGCCCTGCCCTTGATCGATGAGGCCTTGTTAACCCGCTCCGTCATGCGGATGCTGATGGGAGTGGCGGTGCTTTTGGCTGTCAGGGCTGCCATGAAGGTGGTGGCGATCCCATTGGCATGCAAGATCTTTGGCGTTCCTTCGGATGATGTGAGGAAAGCTAGGCAACACGCGCAAGTAGAGCTCGCATACCGGTTTCTGGTATATGGCACAGTGGCCTACTGCTGCGTTTGCCTGGTGCCACTTCTCTTTGGACTCCTCGGCTTATCCTGAAGAAAATACCTCTCTCTGTCTGAACGTGTAGTTATCCGGTTTATATCCTAGCTTAACCTATACATGACCTGGACTAGTCAACGTCTACAGTTCTAGTCAAAACCAACAAACCTGGAAAAGCCTTTTGGTTTTAAACACATATGAAGTATATGTTGATGATAATATCGCTCCATTTTCATGCTAATTTATTTCACTTGTTCGGTTTACAGATTTGTATTAATCTGATTACTCTGAACAGGGTTTTTAGGCACATTTGTTGCCCTCGGCAGGACCTCATTTTTTCTTGGAAGTCAGTTTGTGATGTCATTATCATCAGAGGACCTGTTGACTTCTCAAAAAGGTCTCAAATGTTTCCTGCAGTTGTCTCTATTGATGCCCACCCATCCTGGTCTCTTGTGCTGTTTCTCACTCAACAATTCACATGATTGTTTCTCACTTTACAGTCTGGAGCCTTTCCCATTTTGTTTTCATCTTCTGGAAGCAAACTATACGGGTGGCCGCCCTTGTCCGATATGAGTGTCCTTTTATTTAAGGGCTCACTTTTAAAACATTTTGTAACTGTCCGATCTTCCCAGGGATTCTTTCTTCTCCCGTGGGTCCATTCCAGATCTGTGCACTCGCCCCAATGGTTCATTCAAGGGATCAGGGAAAAAGACACTAAAATCTGAGAGAAAGTGTAGAAAGTTCTGTTCTAATCTCAAAATGGTTGGAGCTCACGCCTCACAATAAGCGGTAATGTATTGAGAGAATGAGGGGAGGGAACTTCCTGTCAGTGTGAACGCTGTATACACAAACTTCCTGTGGATGTGTGCCTCTGAAACCCAAGCTTGGAAAAGAGCGCTTTGAATATGAATGCAGCATATCTTTCTTAACAATACTGTCATTATCAATGTATTATTTATTATACACGTCAAATGTTTTTAAACATTACTAAAAAAGTAGGATTTATCCAGATTGTATAGTTCAGGACTTTAAGGCAAGACCTTTTTTCATTTAATTATATGTAGGCTTCTGTAATATTACTGTTGGATTATGACTTTGATTAAAGACACAGTATGCAATTTTTACCACTAGATGTCGCATATTCACAACAAACAAAGGCGTAGATTGATACTGAGAGTGGAATCATATAAGTTGTCATCTTCATTACATTCAACGGGACTCCTGCAGAAATCATGTTTATAAATGAGTATTCATAACTTATTATCATGATCGTATGACGCAGAGTAAACCTGAAAGCTGTTGAAGCCTATCGAGAGCGCTGAAGCAACTGCTGATGAGAGACAATTATTATGCCACACTCTACGTATTGTTCATGGTCACGTGGGAAAAAGCATGGTGTATCATACTAAATACATTTTAGAGTTCTGTTATAATGCTGCTAGGTGCAGTCTAATTCAACGCACAAAAAATAAACTGTCTGCATCCGAAATCGCCTACTGCTCGGTAGGAACTGCATTTGAATTTAAACGTATTACTCGGCTGTTAAAAAAGTATGTTCTATACAGTATGAATGGAACTTGGATGTACTACATCCGCCATTTTGTCATAATCACTTGACCTACCCACATAAGTTGCGTCACTTCACTCCCATTCATAAATTCTCTCGCGGGCATCATGGAATAGCGTAGCGTCCATTCGATGCCGACTTAGAAATCTCGCCGGAAGTAGGTCATCGGGGTACTTTATGCATACTGATTTTCAAATTTGATGAATTCGGATATACTACTCGACTCGTATACTAATTTTACCATACTATATAGTATCTATATAGATATAGTAGACTATATAGTATAGTAGTATACAATTTCGGACTTAGCCAACGTCTTCCATGCCGCCATTAGCATTGCGACACAGAACACAGTCCATGTCACTAGCTAAAATAGCTTATTCCTGAGTATTTGAACATTCCTCATACAATTTAGAATAATTAAGTACAAAAGTCGGCAAAATTATAACACTGTTCTAGTGCTTTTTGGATATTTAACAACACAATTTCATGGCAATTCGTAACTTTTTGATTTATTGGCTAATTTGTAGGATATCGTTTGATCTCATTTGTACAATTTAGTACAATTTACTCATCCCCCAATGATGGTTGGGTTTAGGGGTGGGGTTGTGTGCCAAGCCTCCTTTTTAAAATCAGAGATTTTCATGCGACTGAACTCTGAATTCGCCACTAAACTGACAAAACGTAAAAAAATTAATTGTCTTTGGTAATTCCATCATTCCATGCAGCCATTAGCATTGCGACACAGGAGACTAACACTAGTTAAGATGGCTTATTCCTGAGGATTTGAACATTCCTCAAACAACTTAGAATAATGTAAGTACAAAAGTTGGCAAAATCATAACACTGTTCTAGTGCTTTTTGGATATTTAACAACACAATCTCACTGCAATTTGTAACTTTTTGATTTATTGGCTAATTTGTATGAATTAGTATGATCTCATTCATACAATTTAGTATGATTTGCTCATTTATCAATGAGGTTTGGGTTTAGGGGTGAGGTTGGGTGCCACGCCTACTTTTTAAAATCGAACATTTTCATACGACTGAACTGACAAAACATAAAAGTTGCATTTCATCGAGATCGGGCTGACATTTTAATAAACAAAACGTACATATTGTGCCTTTAAACGATGTTAAAATTTGACTTTCATTATATCATTAAAAAGCATTGAAATGTTGAATATTTGTGTACAACAGATGAAAGAAAGTAAAGGTGTAATGATGTAGTAATGAGCGATGAGAGTAAATGATGACAATTTTCATTCTTGGTTAAAATGTATTTTAGGGATAAACAGCCATTTAAAACAAATCTAGGGTCTGTGTTTTTCCAACTGTGTTAGCATATCCAGGTTGTCCCATACTCTCAGCAGGTTATAGAAGTAAATACTCAGTGGCATTTTTGTTAATATACTGACTAAACATCCTTGCTTTGTCTGAATTCAACATCGTTTTATATGTTGGAATAACATAATTATGGGCATGATATCATGGCCAAAGCAAACCCCACATACATTTTCCAAGTTGTCAGTATTAACTTAAGTAGTGATTTGTTGTTTATCGTTGAACTAATGCTCTGTGCTTGCACTATATTTTGTTGACATGTTTAGTTTGAGAAGTAAAGCCAGTCACAGAGGACAGATTGCTGATATACGCTGATTTCTCAGAAACCCCAGTGCCTTGCAGTCCTTTTTTTTTTTTTTTTCAGGGCAAATTTATCGTCCAACTAGGCACAACACATCACAGCTGTCTGTCTGTGGCCAGTTTTGAAAGTGTAAATGATTCGGTTACGTAATTGAAAGCTTCACTTTTTCTTATGTGTGATATGTACCTACATTTTCAGTGTCCGTTATGTGGAGTTTGTAATCAGGTTTCTGGTAACATTTTAATGGAGAGATTTAATTTACCTGTGTGAATGAAGGGTTCATATTTTTAATTGTGCATACAGTAAATGTACCATAACTGAAGGATAAGCTGTACTCAACTGTGCACTGAGCCGAGGTGAGTATAACAGGAAGTTAAATGATGTTTAAGGCTTTCCTACAAGGAAATGCATTGTGAATGAAGCTTGTACACCCTACCTGTATTAAGCTTTGAGTCATTCATAATCATCTAAACTCACACACGTTCTGTATCTGTAATCTATGGCTCCTTGTCTGCAGTGTACTTGCCATTTATCTGTTTCTTATTATTAAAAGTAAATAAAAATAGTATGAAATACACTGTATTTGTGTTGAAATGAGTTATGTTTTAATTACCAACTCACTTTTTTAAAAACAAAAATCCTGCCTTATTTTTTTAATGAAGTTAATGAATTTTTAAAAAAAGTTATTCAGCAAAATTGACGTTAAAGTGAGCTGTGTTCGTCTGACAGGTCCATTTGCGAGAGCACCCTCCCAATGGATATTGGATAAGATGAAATGGCCAAGCATCCAGCCCCAAGTATACAACTATCACTTTGAAACCCCAAGTGATTTTACAAGAGAGAAGTTAAAGGCTTGCAAGTGTTTGAATGCCTACAATGTTGTTCTGTGTGGTCATGTGCAGGAAATAATGTTCCATGATTAGCAGATTCAAAACTTTGGCTAGGCAGAACCTCGGTTTTTAGCACTACAAAGACAAGAGAAGACGAACTGTACAATCCCTGGGTAATCATCAACAAGCAAAACAACTGCATTCTGACAGTGAACTGCACCTGTACGGCGGGTATGTGAACTTACATTTTTACATTTCATTCTTAGCATTCAGTTTCCGCAGTTTAATTAACCATATTTAACTGTCTTTGCTGAACTCATCGCTGCAATAAACGAGTGATGTGTATGATTCAGCATAGCGTGAACTTACCTGAAATAAACTGTTATCGAGCATTTCTAATTGGGTCCTCACTCCATTCAGCTCTTCTTTCGGCTGATTGCCAAAGATGTCTGCGGTTGGCATTAAAAGCAGTGTGGTGTACGGTAAAATTTAGGTTTTCTATTTTTGTCATTCGATTTTGGCATCCTACCGACAACTCATGCTTTAATTTTATTTTATAAGTTACACAAGCTGTTTTAAGCCGGTTGAACATAATATAAGTTCAATGAACTCATAAGGTTAATTTGATTCAGCTTAATTGTATTATTTTAGTTATGAATAGATTTGTGCCATCTAATATCATTTGTCCATCTAAATGCTTAGTTTGCTTTTTTTTTTTTTTTTTGTTGAGTGTCCCCTCTTATCGGTGTGAGAGTGTGTATGAGTGCTCTTGATCCAGCAAAGTTCAGAGGAACACTCATTTCTCAACTTGTCAGCTTTTCGGACAAAGGTCTACTGTCTGCATGACTTATTGATTTCTTTTAACCCAGTTTGTAAGCTATAGAAGAGCTTGCTTCTTTCCTACTGCTTATGTAATGCAATGTTGACCTCTCTAATTGTACATTACACATATGAATAGGCATTATGTACTGCAGTGTATTAACTGGTATTGTTACTGAGCAATTCCAGCATTATAGATGTGACATTTTCAGTAAAATCTCAAAACACAAATGTATAGAGAGTATGTTAACATTATATTTTAATGGCTGTTAAAATAAAAAAAAAAATCTAACCACAGAGTTGTGGGATCAGAAAAATATCAATCTGTGAACTTTTTTTATTTTAAATGAGGAAAATAAACGTGTGTTATGGATGTGACAAAGTCTGCGAGTTTACTGTATACAACCTACTTTGTAGAAATTCTGTGAATTAAACTGCACACCCCAAAAAAATAATGCTAATCAAAAAAATAAGAGTTGGCTAATAATAGAACCACAAATTCATTTTTTTTTGCATTTATGAGGGAAAAGCTTTGTTATGAATGTGACGTCACATCTCTCTGTGACAGATGTGAAATTTCCACTTGTGTGATTTTGGTAAATCAAATAAAACTGTTGAAAACATTAACGGAGACATTTTGAGTATTTTTAAAGCACTTTAAAATACTTGCTAGCACAAAGAAATGCTGAAACAGTTTTGTTATTTCAGCGAAAACTTGAATTGCTTGAATTGCTCTACTACATTGACTGCTAAATAATACAAATCTGTTGATTGGAAGAGTATTTGACATACAAATTAAAGCAGTGACAATGTGTTTAATCTAAATATTCAGATCTGTTCTACTGGTGTCCTACAATAAATTGTAAAACGAAATGTTTTTTATGACCTCAGTGATTTAAAGATACAGGGAATATTTGTAAATTGACTTCAGTGAACTGAAAAAAAAGGTGAAAAAGGCATCATGGATGTTTCACTTGTCAACTACCCAGGAGGAATGCTGAATTTTTAGTTTTTGATCAAACCGCATTCACATTTTATACTGAGAAAGAAAATTTAGAACGGCATGCACAATGTTAAGGTGCTGTAGCGCCATACAGTGGTTATAAGTGTGAAATACCTGCATGAATTTGCTCAAGCAAAAAAAAAGAAAGAAAAAAAAAAGACAAAAATGCTTTTTTTATATAAAAAGCAATTAATTCATGAAATTTAATTCAAATAAATAAAACAGACATTCACAACATGCAAATCGGACATGCAAATTTTCGTCATTACTTAAATTATCGCCTACTTTATCCTCTTGGCTTCTGCTATGTTCCTGCTGTTTCATAATGCTTTTCATTATATTGTAATTGTTACTGTCTACACATTGTTCAGTTTAAAAACAAAAGAACCAAATTTTCTTTGCAAGTAATTGTTTTTATTTTTAAATACTTAATTATAACATCACAAAGTGTTAACAACAGCCAAAAAAAGTCAAAACCCTGAAACTGTGCGATGAAATGTTGAATGCTACGTAATTCAATAATTTAGCTGCTGTACTTTTTGCTTTTTAAATGATTATTTTATGTTCCACCTTATGTTTCCTTATTGTCTTTGTATATATTTTTCTGTATTCACCATTTCACCATCAAATGTTGTATTTAAATGTTAAATTTGTATTGTTTATTTTTGCTGTTTTTGTGGTGCTTATAAGCATTAGCTTAATAATGTTAAAAATAAAAAATAATAATGTCAGCTCTTACAAAGACTGATCTTTTGCTTTTGTAAGACATAAATGTATCTTCAGGAGCCACAAGCATTAGTTTAGTTTTGGCTTTTAATTATGTTGTCGTTTTTTTCACAGTTGTGGCCTAATATGTTCACCAGATGACATTTTGTTGACATAGCCAATCATTTCTTTACCAGTATGGAAGACTGAGTTAAAATTTCAATAGTTTCAATCCAGTCATTCACGAATGGTATGTTCACTTAATTATAAAGGGCCACAGTGATGCACTAGAAAGACTAGAGTACATTGCTTTCAAACCAGAAATAATTCATTAATATTTCTTCAGCTTAGTCCCTTCATTCATCAGGGGTCACCACAGCGGAATGAACCGCCAACCTATCCAGCAAATGTTTTAAACAGCGGATGTTCAGACTCCCTGCTGCAACTAGGAAACATCCATACACACTCATTCACACACATACACTACGGCCAATTTAGCTTACCCAGTTCACATGTGGGCCCACCGCATGTTTTTGGACTTGTGGAGGAAACCGGAGCACCAGGAGGAAATCCAGAAAATACAAACTTCACACAGAAATGCCAACTGATCCAGACGGGACTTAAACCAGCAACTGTGCGAACCACTGAGCCACCGTGTCACCAGAAATAACATGGAAAAAAAAGAATATTCATCAGAAAAAAAGAAAGTGATGGAGAATGATTCGTGCTAGTATACTCTCAGAGTTAGCTTGCAGCCTGAAGTGCATCCACTGCATAAAAACACAAGCAGGAGTAATTGTTGGTTCATTCTGCTGTGGCAACCCCTGGTATATTGTGGCCTAAGCCAAAGGTAAGTGAATGACTAAGTGAGTAAGAATGATATGTTCACCTAAAAAATTCATTCAAGCAGCAAAGCCCATCTAAAAGTAATGAGTGATTAAATTATTATATTAATATATTTTAACACACACACATATATATAAATTTATATATATTTATTCTTTGAATGAACTATCTCTTTAAACTTGTCCCAGATATAAACGTCTCTGGTTTTCATTTATGCTCCAGTAGTTTTTTTGGGAAGTTCAAGAGACAAATAATCTCAGAAGTTCATTACTTTTACTACTGCCTCAAATTGTCCTGTCATTTATTCATTCATTTTCCTTCGGCTTAGTCCCTTTATTTATCAGGGGTCACCACAGCGGAATGAACCGCCAACTTATCCAGCATATGTTTTACACAGTGGATGCCCTTCCAGCTGCAACACAGTACTGGGATACACCAATACACACTCATTAAAACACATACACTACGGTCATTGTAGTTTATTCAATCCCGCATGACTTTAGACTTGAAACCGGAGCACCCGGAGGAAACCCAGCTGCGACTCGAACCAGTGACCTTCTTGCTGTGAGGCAAAAGTATTAACCACTGAGCCACAGTGTTGTCCCCTCATATTGTTCTGTTAATAAAAAGTTACTAAAAATAGTAATTGTACAATAGTAAAAGTATGTGACAACAAAAAAAAAAGTCTCTGCTAAGAAGAGTATATAAATAAGATGGAGAGGCGAAACACCATCACTGGTCAGTGTCATTCATGTTATGTAACATCATGTTCATCAAGTAAGGACTCACTGAAGAGAGGGAAATATCCCAAATCCTTTTATAAGAACAGAAAACTTTAGTGCAAACGTTAACTCAGCAGTGTTTATAAGCGTTACGTTTACTAATTATTTACCTCGTCGGAGGTAAACAGGGCGAGCGGTCCTCAACTCGGGTGACATTTCTCGCCATACGGGCATTTCTGGTCCTTGTCTTCATCCAATCTCCATCTCAGACATTTACGCTGCAACCTACCCGCATAACTTCTCGACATCACTGACGTTTGACTTTCGAGGCGTGCCCAACTAGTGTTTGATTGACAGCTCGGAAAGCCAATCCTTGGGTTCGTTGCGCAGAAAGTAGCAAATCATTAGCCTGACAGCATAACCCAGCGTTCCATCAAACTAGGTTTAGCGGTCTGTTTTGGGCCAGGAAAAAATTGGCACCGAGCATTAGCACAGCCTGCTAACGTTTACTCGTGATAACAGGTTAGCAGTTAGTCGCTATTTGCGTGAGTTTAGCAGTAAGGAGAAGGACAATCTGACTTTAGTGACCAACATCTGGGTATGTAGTCGGTCAGTAAATGTGTATGAATGTGGCTTTTGGTGCAGGCTGGGACGGCAGCTACAGGGATTAGCTGTACGGGGAGCTCCTGCTAGCAGTGCAATGCTGACATACCTTTAGGCGGCTTGCTAATTATCTCATAAACGGGGATCTTGCTGTGTCTTCGTTCGGAAAAATCGCCACCATTCATACGTGGATTGTTTTCCAAAGCCGAAGCCGAATTAAATAGCCAACAGTGAAACGTTCGAGTTAGCTGGCTAGCTGGGTCGCCTGCAAGTACAAGGTTAGCTGCTTAAAACGAGCCACCTGGACCCAAGAACCATCGAGAGAGGTAAGAAACCGGTCTGAACGCTGAATAAACGTTACTGACAAAATAGTTATTTTGGTGTTATGTTTAAGACGCGTCCGGTGGTTTAAACCGCACCGGATAGCAGATTGTTTATTACGAGAGCTGTGCACTCTGAAGACCAAACACTGAGGTCGATTCGTGTTTTTGCGCAGTTGAAGCCAGATTCGTGATCTGATCATTATCTTGTCATTCAATTTTTTGATATATTTGCTTAGTTCATGTATTTCTTCATTCAGGTGCCTGGCAGTTTTGACAAATAATCCCTCGCTGCTCACTTAGCAGTGGTGATTGCTGTGTTTTCTTCACAAATGCCGAGGTTTATTCTCAGACACCTGTGATCTGAGTCTGATCAGCCTTTGATGGGATGAGAACATCATCTCACTTTCCAAATCTGCCGTAATCTTGTTAAGATTTTCCTTTCTCAACTGTCTTGTAAGACTGTCAGACATCCAGAATATGTTCACATAGTTGATCTTTTGAACGCAAATTCAGACAGTCATTCTTGGGCTTGTCTCTGTTAAATGTTCTCGTCCATTTAGCAAGTCAACAGTCTTGTTTATTGGCCTTGCCTTTCAGGCTCTTGGGAATGCAATATACTCCACACCTGTTTTTGTTCCACAGCTGCAGTCATGCGTTTCAAGCTCTGACTATTGAGGCTTTTTCTGACAAACTGATATGAACTCTCCTGATCTCCTGGTTTTCTGTCTGGTAGTGCTTATGTTGAGGCAGGATGTGTTTTTTTTTTATCTCTCAAGGACATAAATTTCATCAGTTAGTGCAGCGCACGAGCAGAGAGCATGCAGAAATGCATAGAAACAAGTTTAGACATATTGACCAACGTGATTGACTTGTCAGAATTTTTACATGAAAAAAACTAATAATAAATTAAATAAAGCAGATTGTAGTACCTAAAACAATTGGAACACATCCTATTGTTTCTGAAAGAATATTCCACATTCATTTTAGAAATAGTGTGGGTTTCTAAAGGAAACCCAGATGTATAATAGTTGTAGTTTGAGTCATGTTTATGAGTTCAAATCAATGAGAGGAGTCAATTTTATGTTTCATGGCCCTTCCTTGTAAAGCAAATAGACTTTAGTTGTTGCCTTGCACTATGCTCTGTACATTTTAAGGCTTGTGAAGTTTGTCATGTATTAGTGAAAGTTGATTTGGTCTAAAATATATGCAGTTCCTAGTAGGATTACAGTCAGGCATATCAAGTAAAGCTAAAATTCTAAACAGTTTATGCTATGATGCTATATTTTATCTTTTATTTGAATGACAGAAAAAAACAATTAGTGCTAAACTTGTGCATTTGCATGTCTAAATTAAATCATTTCAGTTACACTGTTATGTTTTAATCTTTCTTTTACTATTTTATAACTTGCAAAACAAACATGTAGCAGCTGTTACCTTTCACTGATTCACTTTAGTAAAATTAGTGAACAATGAATAAATGTATGTATGAATATAGCCACACAAACTGAATGACCACTATTAGAAATGGTCAGTTTAGATGTTGTGATGTGTGAAACTGATAAAGAAGTGTTTATTAATTTTTTACGATATAAAAACAACGAAAACGTTGTCAATAGACAATAGAAGTCAGAAACTCATTCTTAAGTGCTGTATTAATATGTGTTGAGTCTTCACAATGGCAAATACTGTATAAACAACCCAGATCATGCAATTTCCACAACTTTTTTGTTTTGTTCCGAAAGGCATTTTGTGCACAGTTAGTATGTTGCTAAACAATTGGACATCGAAGAGCATGCTGTACTTTCATCCATCACACCCTTGCTTTATTCCTGCAAACCATGGCACTAGCCTACCCTAATTAAGGCCCATATGTCTGAAAGAAAAAAAAGGTGTAAATCATTTAAAACTGTTCACATTAATTATTTTCATTGATTATATATTTAGTTATATTGTTGACTTTAGGTTAATTTGGAATTTGAATGTCTTCAGCTTGCTGTCAAGTTGATAATCAGACTTTATAATCAGATTTTAAGTTTGGGAATATTTTAAAAAATATGACTTTGATAAATTGTGCTTTGCTCACTGTGTAAACTTAAATGACTTTTCAGAGCAACTCAATGGCTACTCTTGGTGAGACGACAGCGCAAGTGTTTGACATTACAATACTTTTTTTACACAACCCTTAAATGCCATATTTTGAGCTTTAATATGGTTACATTTTTAAATATTTTTTTTGGGCTGCATGCATGGCACTAGACTGAATCTTACTTAATTCTAGATTTGAAATAGTTGTTGGGTAAGAAATAATTTAATTCACAATTGCTGTGATAAATGTGCCGTAGTCAGTGTTGGGGATAACACATTAGAAGCAACGCGAGTAATGTAACAATATTACTTTTCTAAGTAACAAGTAACATTACTTTAAAAAAATTAAGTCATGATATTTGAGTTACTTTTTAGATTATTTAATACGCTTAAAAAAATTGTTTGCTGAATTAAAGTTAGTTTAATCATGTTGAATGAATCACACTGTGAGAAAACTTCCTGCAGGAATTGACAGAAACCAACATGGCAGAGCCTTACATTTCTGTAATGGAAGAATTCTTATTCTGAACACATGGAAGAAAAAGGGATTGTCTAGTTGGACAGTTATTTTAATAATAAGACAAAGTACAAAGATAGCAAACACATTGCAATGAACTTTTTATGAATCTATATACGGATTGTAGAGTGTCAGGAAGTTCTCAAAAGGTTACATTATTGTATTTTTTAAATGTTTTGTTAAGGTAAATGAAGGTGTAGGTTATGCTCAGGTAGGTATGAAAAAGTAGCTCAAAAGTACTGTAATGCATTGCTTTACGTAGAAAGTTACTAAGTAACACAACTAGTTACTTTTTAGGGAGTAACACAATATTTTGATGCATTACTTTCAGAAATAACTTTCCCCAACACTTTCCAAAGTGTATTTTTTTAATATGATAAATTGTTCTCTCACAAATAATGGGTATGTGGCTTGGGTAAGTTAAAAAATTCCCCAAAGTTATTTATATGCTCATTTATTACCCCCAAAAATACCTCTACAATGACAGCTCAGTTTTGACCATATTTGGGACAGTCATGATTATTGATTTGCTCTGCTCTAATGCACTGCAGCTCATTAAGTTTATGCTCACACACACACACACACACACACACACACACACACACACACACACACACACACACACACACACAAGAGTGATGCATTTTATTTGTCAAGAAATATTATAACAATAGACCTAGTTATGTAATTTAAACTGAAGTGGTGTAGATGTTTATTTTAGCTAGATGGATGGAGCGAGATATCTAATATAAGCCACAAGAGTTGAGTCTGAGTTGTGTTGTGGTGAAATATAGGTTAAATAGGCTTTATGCATTGAGAAATGTATTTTTGAAAAAGCCTGCCTGGGCTCTACCAATGTACTTATAAGCTTGCTGCATTTAAGATCTGGCTTGTTCATTATCAATGATCTACATGATCTTATTGAGACACAATACAAAGATGGTCTGACACTGGACAAGAAGCATTGCATCTAATTTAGGGCTGCAACTACCGATTATTTTAATAATCAATTAATCTGTCAATTATTTTTTGATTAATCGATGAATCGGATAAAAAAAAACAAGAAAAGCATTCATTTCCAAACTTTTATTCAAAAAAGCTCATCATATAATAATAATAATCTAAGTTTTGTCCTGTTTTCAATCCACTATTCTACGCCATTTTGTAGTATAAATAGTGTAAGTAATGCGTTCACACTGAAAACTCTAAAAATAATAAGTGCACTTCATCAGGGAAACGGTTGAATTTTCGCTTAGTAAAAAAAAAATAGTGTTCCATTTTGGATGACACTATCTGCATATACTATGCTGTTGAGTGTGTAAGTGCATAAGTACATAGTGCATGAGTGCATAATGTATAGTGTGCCATTTCAGATGCAGCTGATGTCTTGTTTTCGGGGGGAAAAAACGGCTCAAAATTAAGTGATTGTTTGCTTAAAACAAGCTAAATTATTTGCCAATGGGCTAAGAAAAAAATCTAAATGAGATAGAATCGGAAAGTTTTAAGCATCATTTAATTTTATCATGCCATTTCTCTTGTCTGTTCTTGATTTAAGTTTCTTTAGATTTTTGAACTGGCAACGAGACAAAATGACTAAGAAAGAAAAGTTTCAATGTGTCTTCAGTCTTGCAATGCAAAGTAACTACCACTGCTTTACTACTGTTATTGACCCTTTTACTGGTGAGTTTACAAGATTCTATCTGGCCCCGAGACACACCACAGCCACAACAGCGATGTATGACAGATGTATCCCTTTCATTTTGTTTTAATTCAACATGTTCACATGCTTTCTCATCATTGGTAATATTTAGGAGGGCTAATAATTCCGACTTCAACTGCATATATACAGTTATTTTCCACTTTTCAAAGGAAAGAGAAACAAATACAATAGAATAAAAATATGAAACAAACTGCTTTAAGCATCTTCACTGTAAGAAAAACACTTTAGCCACAAAAGTCCTTCAGTCAGGAGCAGCGAGAGATTTTCTCTTTTTGTTGTTTGATTAATGATAAAAACAGGCGGCAGCAGGAATATTGCACTGTCATTTTAATGGTTTCTCTTTCACGTGTCTTAATTCTTAACTCGTTTGTTCATTACACAAATGAGGGTTAATATAAATAAACACTAAAGACCGCCTTTTGACACCTATTTGACCATTAAAGTGCTTATGTTAAGATGACTTTAGATGTGTGCGCTCTGCTCGTCTCAGTGTGCGAATGAGACCGAATGCTGACCGCATGCATGCATGCTTCTGACTGTGTGTGCGCGGTCTTTCGCACTTTTAAGAGCAAAAAATCTGTACAACTGGAAAGGGGACGGTATATGATGCAATAATCGTTTATCTTGATTAATGGTTTCATAATCGTTAGAAGCCAAAATCAAAATCAGATATTCGATTAA